GTAGGCACTGATCTTTGTTTCTGTGTGTGTGTGAGTCGCTCTGCGGTCCAGGCTGCCTTTAAAATAATGCGCCTTTTTGTTGTGGCCGTGGCCGGTGGAATCTGGGCATTCCACATCCTCGAATGATGCTAATTAATCTTTTCAGCCCTGGTAGCTGGAGACTTACGCCTCGCTAGGACTTGACAAGAGATAAAAGTTTTCACTTTTTTTGATAAGTTTCTTAGTTTCGACTTTTTGAAGTTTCCGATAGGAGGGACAGTAGTGAAAGAAGTCACCTCACGGCTCTTCTAAAGCTCCCTAATTGCGTGATCAAACGTTACTTTCCTTCGCTTTCCTTCATTTGATTTATAGAACTGAAATGCATTTGCTTTGCCAAGCTGCAGGATAAAATGACTACTTGAAGTAAATGCTCTCTGTTTTCTGCTGTAAGGGGTTTGTGGCTTTGATTAAGACTCCTGTTTACAGGCCAGCCTGGTAGCTCAGCAGACTATTGTTATCATTAACATGCTGACCCTTGGTGATACCACGGGAGAGTGTTTCTCCCTGCTGAGGATGGCAGTTTGCATTGTTCAGGTAGTCAGATGTAATGATGCATTTGAACAGGGTGTGCGTGAGGGGGAGGCTCGAGTAATCCCATCTCTTGGTGAAGTGGAGTGGGAAAGTGACGGTGATACTAATTATTATATTTTTTTCTGTCTAGTCCTTTCACTTGGGGTCAAGTTGCATGATGAGCCCCCATCCTGTAGCAAAAGTGACATTTGTCAGCAGGAGGAGGGTGGTTTCCTGCCCAGAATCCTTCCAAGGGATTTTAGGAGTGCTCGTTTTCACAGCGCTTAAGTTCAGATGGTGCAAAACAGTCTCTAAGCAAAGACTTTTCTTGTCTCCTTCCCCCCACTCTTTTGGGCACACAGTTTTCTGGGAGAATGGTTGCATGGAAGGGGAAGATGAAGAAAGAGGGGGGGAAGAAGGTGTTCCTTGCAGGGCTTGCCATTCATTGCCACCAATGACAACATCCAGATTCTGTGTTTGGGGTGCCGTGGCCCACCCACCCCACACCCTCCTCCAGCGCTTCTGGGGGTTCTGGACCTAGTAGGTACTCAGGCTCGCGCAAGACAGGAGACTCCTACCCCTGGGAGGTAGGTTTGCCTGTATGCCAAGGCATAATAGCTAAACGCAGGAAAAGGAAATACACGAGGAGATAAGCGTGACAAACTTTTTTCTGTCAAAACGTGCTTAAATTCCCGCCAGCATATTTTCTTTTCAGTGCAATTTTTTTTTCTGTTTGCAGAATGCAGGTTGAAATGCTCTTTGCTCGCAAAGGTTCTTGTATCCTTGATGATTTGGGGTGCTTAATCCTTTTCAAAACATTAGTTGGGGTGTTAATGTAGGTGGATTACTTCAGTGAAGAATTGTGGGGAGCATATTGGTGTTTTCAGATAGAAAAGGAAATACACTTCTCCTATGTTTAGCGCTGCTGGTGATCACAGTCCCCTCTTCCCAGGCGAGGGGGTCTAGTAGCTGGGAGGGAAGGAGCCCTTGGGGATTTTCCCCCAATCATGGAGGGAAAGGGATGTTATAAACGGCGACGATTTGCAGACTCTTTTGCACAGTCTTTCTTATGTTATCTAGTATAATGAGAATTTCCTAGAGGTTTAAATCTTGGGTTTGCGCTGAAGATCCAGCAGTTATGAGATCATTAAGTGTACTCTGCAGTTTCTAATGAGCCGATGTAACTTTTCCTGATAAATGCTAGGCCCCTCCCCCACAAGCTGCAAAGCAAAAATGACAAGTACTGTAATGTTGAAATTGGATCCAAAGGGATTTAGCAAACTGAGCATTTGCCATATTTAGCGTCATCAAAGTTCCTTCATCTCATACTTCAGTGATGCTTTGCTGATCTTCTGATTAGTCTGATACGCTGTTTCTCTTAAATCACCTACACTACTATTCCTAAACCCTCCCCCTTTATTTCTTCTCGGATGAAATTTGTGCATATACTTTAATACTTCTGAATTGACTATTAGGAAAAAATGATAAAGCTAAAATGTGCATTTGGTCCGTATCTGGCTGTGCCATTGATTTGCTCAGGAATCTGTGATACTGTGTTCCTTTCCCCGCGCATTGGAACTGACAGCTTGTAGCAAAGTCAAATAAGATGTTTAACAAACCACATGTCCTATCGTTTTTAGCTTTGCCATTGTACCCTTGTGGCTGCGAGCCAGGGCCAGATACAACACCTCCTCCAGCGCCAGGCAACTTTGCCTGTGTTTTGTGTGCACACGTGTGTGCGTGTAGCCGGTTCCACATTTGTCTCTCGCAGTAGGGCTAGCTGGAGAAACCTGTGCTGAGCTGCACAGAGCAATCTGAAATGGGGTTTTGGAAGGGAATAAAAAATCCACTCTTTTTTCTTTTTTCTTTTTTTTTTTTTTTGTGGAAGGTGAAGATGTTTCTCTGCTCCAGGGCTGTTTTTCCAGGGAGGGAGAAGGTGCGTTGTCCTGGTAAATGAAAGCCACAAATGTTGTTGTCCCAGCCCAAATGCTGAAGTTGGTCAGAAAGAGAGGACAGCTTGCTGTGCCACTTGATCTCTCTCTCATCTGTGGTGTTGCCATAGGCTTTCTGAATGCCAGCTGCAATAATTAAAGCCAGGTATTGTTGCTGTGCATTAAAAGAAAAAAATAAAAACCCCAAAGACTTTCGGAACCCTGTTCTAAAACCCATCCTAACACAGATCATCAGAGCTCACCATTTTGACTGTGGCAGGATGATTTCAAGCAAGGGGACCACCATGCTGTGCCTTAAAATAAAAATATGGTTAAAAACCATAAATAAGATTTTTTTTTAATCCAGTTTATTTATTTACAACAAACAGAAGAAATTGGCCTGAGGACAGTACCTTCATTTTAGCCTTTCTCTGGCTCCCGTTCCTCCTCCATCGTCCCTGTTCACTGGCATTTTTTTGTAGTTACTATCGTTCTCCATGTATTAACGTCTCTCTGCACGATGCCTGATCCTTTTCCTTGCGGGCATTTAACGACTCAGTCTCAGTTCTGAAGTCTCAGGGTCTCTCTGTGCTAGCGATTTCGCTCTATGCCCTCCTGCCTACTCCTTACACTCGCCGTGCTCCTCCGCGTAGCGAGCAAACGAGCACCAAAGCAAGCCCCCGTGCACGCCATCTTTCTGAGCTCAGCCTGCCTGCTGCTTCACGGGAACTCGCCCGATTTCGCAGACGTGGTTATTGAGATTGATCACAATAGTGAAACGCCTGCCAAGCTGCGTTATTTGCACAAATACACTGTATGCAGTTTTGGTACAGCGGGGCTTGACGCGATGATTGCCTCTTTTCATAGCACCCGTTACGGCACGTGCCGTCGTTTCGAAGGGCAGAAAACCATTTTTAAGAAGTTTGCTCTGGTTTTGGCAGGGGAAAACCATCCTAGTGGGAAAAACCTAATTAAGACCAGTTGTACTCGAGACTTAGCAGAATGTTTAACTTAAGGGATTCTGAGTTAGTAACATAAAAATCAATAAGACTAGGTAAAACAATTCAAATTACACCACCTATAAAATCTAAGTAACAACCCAGTCACGTGAACGGCCTACGAACCCTTGAGAGGAATGTTGGCTGCCAAAATTTTCAGAAGCGATGATGGCCAATTCCATTTTGGGATGCTCAACTGGAGATCTATTAATGACAGCCACTTTGTCAGGAGGTCCTTGACGGTCCATTCCCTGAAAATGAAGTGTGCCCAGCACTGCATCCAAAAATTAAGACATCCTAAATTATTGAAAATTCAGGCCACTTGTGTTTATTTTAGGAATCTGTATTCTCCCTGGGTTTATCCGCTGGATTCATCTTGGACTGAATTGGTGTTCAGCAAAAGGAGAATTAAAGCCTTTGAACCTGATTCTTATTTAAACTCAGGCCACTCACGAGTGGTTTTGCAATCCATGGGCACTCTAAAGTACGATTTATAACCACCCTAATGCTCCTCTACACAACCGGAGCAGTGCAAAGTGGCCTCAAGAGAAGTGAAAATCAAGTCCGTCACTCGCTAACTTCCACCTCAGACGTTGCTCTTCCCCTGCAAACTGCCCTGCCCTGGCAGCCTCCACACTTCTGGGGGTACCAGCAGCGGGCACAGCCTAACGGGACGCTTGTTTCCTTCGGTATTAAACTCCTTGCATTTTTTCCCTCAGCTGTATACTTCCTCCTTCAAGGGCTTTATTGTTGTAGCGTTTCATCGTCACTCTCAGCATTCTTAAAGACAAAGTCGGAAGGCCGCTTCCTTCCTTCCTTCCAAAGTCGGAGGGAGGGTAAAGCTGCTGTGGCAATTTGGGAATAGCAGATCTAACTGTCCTGATTTCTCTGAAGAAAAACGGAAAACATAGGTGTCTAGGTGGAAAATATTTTTTCTTAAAAATCTTGTTTTCAGGAAATATAATTGATGCCCTCAGCCCTTTCTCTTTCTCGTGGTTTTTTTTTTTTTTTTTTTAATTGTGAAGAGGCTCTCTTGTGAAACAGCAGACCTTTCCTTGAAACTGCACAAGAAACGAACCCGGTTTTTAATCAAGTAACAAAATCCGTGGCTTGCAGTAGAGGACCCGTGCATTGCACGTATCAATTAATGCTTATTAATCAGTTTTTGCAGTTTTGCAGATTGTAGTTGGAAGCTATTAGGGAGGGAATCACAAGGGGAATACTGTTGCAGGAGTACACTCGATTTTGCTGTTTGTGTCCTTTGGATTCAAGGTGTTTGTATAATGAAGTTGGCACGTTGATATATGATCTATTTTTTAATGTCATTACAATTTTAGTTCCCTCTGCCTTTTTGTCATTGGGTTACATTTAAGCACAGCAAGATCAACTTTAAACTTCCTTACTCAACAGCTTTATTAGTTATAACGTACCGTGACCTTTCTCAACATTCTTAAAGAAAAAGATACAGTGTAATGTCACTTTACTTTGCTTATTGTTCTTTGTTGTGGTGAACAAAGCATTT